GCCTGGAAAATAAGGAGGCTTTTACTGAATTGGTTCCATCAGTGCTTTGTCCTTGAAGTCAGGAAGTACCATGCCAGTACAGAAATTACTTAATGCTTCTGGCCACCCAGAACCCAGTGAGTTTAACTCCAAAGGTGTCAAAGTGGTCTACTTGCCCCCAAACCCAATGACTCTAAGTCAGTCTCTAGATCAGGGAATCGTAAGGGCCTCTAAGGCTTATCACACATGCTACTCCATGGAAAGAAATATCAGTGCTATGGAAGAGAACCCTGATAGTGACAACCTCATGAAAGTCTGCAAGGTTCAGACCATCATTATTATAGAAAAAAGCAGTGAAAGCCTTCAACCCTGAAACAAGAAGTTCCTGCTGGATAAAGCTGTGTCCAGATGTTGTGTATGACTTCACAGAGTTTACAATGGAGCCAGTCATGTAAACCATAAATGAGATTGTGGATCTGGCAAAAAGGGTGAGGGGTAAAAAGTTGCAAGATACAGATCTTGAAAAAATTCAAGAGCTAACAGACACTACACCAGAGGAATTAATAGAAGACAACTTGATGGAGATGACTGCTTCTGAACCAGTGCCAACGGAAGAAGACTTAGAAGAAGTGCCAGAAAACAAATTAACAGACAATCTGCAGAAGGCTTCCTGTTACTCAAGATTGCCTTTGAGTTCTTTTACGACATGGACCCTTCTATGGCATGGGCACTAAAACTAGAGCAAATGGTGGAAGAATTGGTACCATACAGAAACATTTTTAGAGAAAGGAAAAAGCAAAAATGTTAATCAGAAATTACGATGTATTTCTGTAGTTAGACCGAGTGTGCCGGACTCTCCTGTTTCCCCTTCCATCTCCTCTACCTCTTCCTCCTCTGCCACCCCTGAGACAGTAAGACCAACTCTTCCTCTTCCTCCACCTCCTCACCCTACTCAGCATGGAGAGGACAAGAATGAAGACTTTTATGATGATCCACTTCCATTTAATGAATAATAAATAATCCTTTCATCATACAGTTAATAAACTTACCAGTGGTGTATCTGTGTGTCTTCATGTGAAAAACTAGTAACTGAGATGTTTTTGTTTTATTATCATCATCAACATTGCTTAAGTATTCATTATGTAACCTCTGGAGCTCTTGCAGTTCAAATTGGCAGACCCTGAGCCTACTCTTGAACTTTGTTCCCTCTTGTACTGCAGGAGGTAAGACCCTTTTTGTAAGCTACGAAACAAGCCCTCTGGTAAAACACTTAATCTTCAAATTTGTTAACCCTTCATTTTCCCATGATCCCTTTAAACAGCATACATAGAACCTAATAATAACCAGCCAACTGCATTGCCCTTGTAAGCCTACTATTTTTCAAATGACAGTTTACCAATACCAACTTGAAAAGAGATTGAAAATATAAACAGGTCAGTATTTATCATAGGCTAGAGAACATTTTCAAATATCTACTCCTTAAAATGCCATTAGCCTTGTGCTGACTCACTGGTCATTTCTACTAGTTTTAAGAAATGGTTAATTCCAATGATATATAAATTTTTCCTGAACATTGAAACAGAACAAATATGTCCTAATTCTTTATATGAATGTGATATAACTTTGGAAACAAAACTTAACCAAACTTATTATTCTTTTAATGAAGTCTTTGATGGGCAAATGTAATCAAGAAATTCATTAAAATAATAATTTCAAGTTAGTAATTAGAGTTTATGACAGGAATTTAAGGAGGGTTTATTACTGGCAACCTTAATAGTATAATTAATATTAATGGATGAAAGGTGAAAAGCTTGAGATTCTTTTGATTCCTGGTGTCACTGAAGGTATTGCTTGGGTATTTCTTGGTACACTGTGTGTGTGTGTGTGTGTGTGTTTTGTCATTGTTGCAACTTACTGTATTAAAAAATCTAGTAAGTTTACATCAGTGTCCTCTTTCTTTAAAATGAAGTCCTTTTTAAGAGGAAAAAAAATAAAGGAGAAATAATAAAAATTAGAGCAGAAATCAATGAAATTGAACACAGGAAAACAATAAAGAAATATCAGTGATACCAAAGATAATTCATTTAAGAAATCAATATAATTGATAAATCTCTAGGCAGAGTAACCAGGAAAAAATAAAGAGAAGTCACGAATTAACAATATCAGAAATGAAAGAGAAAGAGCATGGAGTGATAATAAAAATATTACTATGGATATCTCTCTGTTCAATATTTTAATAATTTAGCTTAAATGTACCAATTCCCTGAAAGACATAAATTACTAAAACCCACACAAAGAGGGAGTGGGTAATAGCTTAGTGGTAGAGCATATGCTTAGCATTCACGAGGTCCTGGAATCGATCACCAGGACCTCCATTAGAAAAAACAAACAAAAAGAACACACAAAGAGAAACAGAAATTTTGAATGGCTTATATCTATTAAATAACTTGAATCAATAACTAATACTGGTACAAAACAGAAAGCACCAGGCCCAAATGAGTTCACTGGTGAATTCTCCCAAACATTTAACAAAGAAATCATTACTGTATATCAGATATATATCTTCTCCCATTTCATCAGTTACATTTTTATTTTATTGATTTTTTGCATTTACATGTCTTACATTTTGAGTTAGTCCCATCGATTTTTGTTTATGTTGTTTGTGGTTCGTGCCATGTCTTTAAAAAAAAAAAATCATTGCCAAGACCCAAAGTTGAGGAGTTTTTTCCCTATGTGTTTTATGGTTTCAGATCTCATATTCAAGTCTTTAACCCATTTTGAGTTAATTTTGGTGAAGTGTCTGTTAAGGTCTTTGGTTCATTTTTTAATCAGGTTGTTTGTTTTCTCATTGTTGAATTTTAGGAGTTCTTTTTATATTTTGAATAACAGGCTTATCAAATATGTCTTTGAAAATATTTTCTCCCAGCCTGTGGTTTATCTTCTCATTCTCTTCACATTGTTCCTCATAAGCAGAATTTGTTAATTTTAAATGAAGTCCAGCTTATCCATTATTTCTTTCTTACATTGATTGTATCTTTGGTGTTGCATCTAAAAAGTCACTGCGGTATCCAAGGTCATCTAGATTTTCTCCTATGTTATCTTCTAGGATTTTGATAGTTTTGCATTTTATGTGTAGGTCTATGATCCATTTTGAGTTAATTTGTGTGAAGATTATGAAACATGTGTTTGGATTCTTTTTTTTTTTTTGCACGAAGTGAATGTCCAGTTGTTCTAGCACCATTTATTGAGGACCATTTATTGCTCCATTGCATTGCCTTGGCTCCTTCATCAAAGATCAGTTGACCATATTTATAGTGGTCTATTTTTTAGCTCTGTATTCTGTTCCATTGATCTGTCTATTTTTTTCACCAATACCACACTGTCTTGATTACCATACTTTGCAGTAAGCCTTGAAGTACTGTCAGGTAATGTCAGTCTTCCAACTTTATTCTTTTTCTTCAATATTGTGTTGGCTATTCGGGGCCTTTTGTCTCTTGCTGCAAAGAATCAATTTGTTGGTGCCCACAGAATAACTTGCTGAGATTTAGGTTGTGTTGATTATTTTGACTAGTTGAATAATTAAAATACCATAAGAAAGATTAGCAGGAGAAAAATAAGCTTAACTATTTACAAATGCTGAATCTGAACATAAGATGTCAAAAACAGTCATGCAAAATTAGGTTTATGTGTCATCCTGGACTATGGAGAGGAAGGTAAGGGTCTAGGTCTCCTTCAAAGGGAAGGAAGGCAATTCATAGGAAGAGGGAAGGAGCAAATGTTTGGTAAACATGTTTTATGGGTCATACCAAAAAAAAAAAGAATACAGAAAGGAGTTTTAACAAACAGACTTGAAAGGTTCCTCCATGTCTCTCACACCTACTTCATATTATACTATAGTAATCTGCGGTGATAGCTCCCTTTCTAAAACATGTCTCCTATCTAAATTCTTTTAGGCAGTTAGGGGAAAGTTAAAAAAAAAAAAAAAGAAAGAAAGAAACTTCCTGAGTCTTCTGTTGCTTAAAAACAATCTGCCCAAAATAATCCTCATGCCAAAGAGACACATTTTGGGTGACAGTTTGTTTCCCTACAATTGGGATTGCATTGATTCTATAGTTGGGAAGAACTGACGTCTTGAAAATACTGAAACTTCCTACTCATGAACATGGAATAGCTCTCCATTTTTTTTTAGTTCTTTGATTTTGTTCATCAGAATTACGTAGTTTTCCTCATGTAAATCTTGTACATATTTTGTTATACTTACATCTAAGTATTTCATTTCTAGGGGATGCTAATGTAAATATTATTGTGTTTTAATTTTAAATGCCAGTTGGTCATTGCTAGTGTATGGGAAAGTGATTTACTTTCATATATTAACCTTGTATCTTGGAACCTTGCTATAATCATTTATTAGTGCCAGAAGTTCTTTGGTTGATTCTTCCAGATTTTCTTGATAGACAGTCATGTCATCTGTGACATGTGAATTGTGAACGAAGAGTTTTATTTTTTCCTTCCCATTCCATTTATATTTTATTTTATTTTCTAGTCTTATGTATTAGTTAGAACTTTCAATATGATCTTGAAAAGGAGGAGTGATGACATCTTTGCCTTATTCCTGATATCAGTGGGAAAGTTTTGATTTTCTCATCATTAAATAAATGTTAGCTGCAGGTTTTTGTATTCTTTGTCAAGTTGTGGAAGTCTCCCTTTATTCTAAGTTTATTGAGTATTAGATTTTGTCAAATGCCTTTTTTACTTCTATTGGTATAATTGTGTGATTTTTCTTTTTCAGTTTGTTGATGTGATAGAGTAAATGATTTTAAATGTTGATCTAGCCTTGTATACCTAGAATAAATCCCACTTGGTAGTGGTGTGTATTTTTACATATTGTTGGATTTAATTGTTGAGAATTTTTGCTTTTATGTTCATGAGAATACGGTCTCTAGTTTTCTAAGTTTATACCCTAAATGTATAATAATAATAATAATAATAATAATAATAGTATTTTATCTTTTTGTCCCTAGCATCTCCCTCCTTGCTTCTGTCCAAGGAATGGGAGGTTCATCTCTTTAGATGGAGTCCCAGGATCATGGGTCGGTCATCTGCTAAAAGTCTGGAATAGCCTACAAAACTGTAAGTTTTGTTCTTTTAACCCATTATATTTCTGGTAATTTGTTACAGCAAAAAGAGGAAACTGGTAGATCCCCCTACTGGTGAGTACTTAGATTGCTTGCCCTTTTTCTACTGTTAAATATACTGTTTTTGCAAGGCAAGGTAACTTTTCTCCTGTGTTTGGTATTATTTTATTGACATAATTTAGAAATAACTGAGTCAAAGTATATAAATATTATTTCATAAATAGTAATAGAGGACAGTTTATTATATCCCAACCAGCACTATTATCCAGTATGCTTCAAAATTTTTGTTAGTTTCATAGATAAAAATTATCATTTCCTTATTTTGCATTCATTTGTTTGAAATTATGCAGTTTTCATATGCTGATTAATAATTAGTGTATCTTCTTGCACAAGCAATCTGTTCACGTTTTGCTCTTCCTTTTTTAAAAACAGTATGTCATAGTTTTAATTAAAAATACTTACCTCTTTTAACTGTTGCTACTTCTCTAAAATTGTATTTTGAAGTAAAGTACACACATACACCAACATCCATGTATTTTTAAAATTAAGAAAGATTATTATTCATTTTCTAAATTTTCAAAGTAGTTATTAGCAACTCTCATGACATGGTCATATTATATTTTATATGAATTATGCATTTCATCAAGCATGCTGACATTTACTGAAGGTAGGTATTTGCTTCATTTAATTCAGTTGTGTCTGAACTCAAAATAACATTACTTTGCGAATATAGAATTTTAGTAAAAATGTTTCCAAATTTCTATAGTTTTATTTTCTTATTATGTCCTATATGAGTGTTATAACTTAGTTCCCCTTGGAAGCAGAGCTTGAGATAAGGGCTTAACCTGCAGATGGTTTATTTGAGAAAGTAAAGCTAGAGTGCTGAGCCAGTTCCTACAGGCACACATGTCACCATCGCAGAAGTGAGAAACGTGGCTTGCCATTGAGGTGAGAGGCCTAATTTCAAGTCACAAAGAGAAATCACATTCATGTCTTCTATGCAGAAGTCAATCAGCTCTAATTTGTCTTCCTAAGCTGGTTAGTGTTAAGATTCTTGACTCTGGCAAGATGATAAAAAAAAAAGACATTTTAAAACTTAGTTAAATTTAGGTGGATGTCTTTGTTATCAGGAGGAGGAAAATAAGAGTTACTTCAGTTGTTAGTCACCTGGATAAATTGAATTTTTAACAAGAGACAGAAAGAATGATTAAATAAGATGTTATTAGTAAACAGTTGGTAAAATATAGTACACTTCTGAGAATTGGGAGCTGTACAATCCAAGAGAGAGAAAATGGCGCCGCTCCTTTGTTTTTCCTGTTTTGTATCCTGGCTTGGGGTGTTTTTGTGATTGATTGATTGATTCACAGCTCTGGTTATTTGAGTGCTCAGGCTGATTGACAGCTCAGGTTCCTTTGCTCAGGCACACCCATCCCTTTTGCACAGGTTCTTACCCATGATGCACACAGAGAAACCTGTGAGAAGGGGGTCAAACTGTAATGTTAATTACATTATAATGAGCATTGGGTCAAGTTAAGCTGGGTCCTTCTCTCTTGCACAGCTGCAGTGTTTGATCCTAGCCAGCTTTTTTGCTGGCCCTCATTTAGAGAAAGTAAGTTTTTGGAGCCCCTTATGCTGAGAGCAGGTGTACTGTTACTTTCTGGTTTGCTCCTTTCCCCTTTCTCTCCCCCTGCCCAGTGTTCATTTCTGTCTAACTGCCTAATATCTTAAATTCTTGTGACTTGAGATCTTCATTCATGAAATCCTAACTTACAGGGTTGTTTTGAGGATGAAAAAGTTTATTACAAGGGAACTTTGAAACAGTGCACAATACATACTCAATACAGATTTGCTATTATTATTAGTTCCTGTAGAATTTACTTATCTTAATATTTTTGGCTTTTTGAGAAGCAAATGATACCATTACTATTAGTATAATTTTCAATATTAAACATGTTATTTTTAGTAGAAGCAGTAGCATATTTCTTTCAGTTACGTTGTATTATTCAAATTATCTTTGATGGATACTTTTAATTTGGATATTTAAAAAAAAACTGCTCAAATAATACTTGTTTAGTAAATACTTACTGAAGCTCTACAAATAAGAATCTCAGTAATTGATGACAGAAAGCCTAGTCTTTTGAGATCCCTAAAATGGAAGGAGGAAATTTTTCACTTTTAAATAAACATGGTACAAGAAATTTTATGTGCAGACTGTTTGTATGCATGTCTTATTAAAGAGTTTGTATAGATCAAAGTAGAAGATGATACAAACAAATTAAACATGGTGCTTTTTTGTCACCTATAATTGTTATTATGCTAATTCCCTTTTACTTTGGAGGAAGAAAAATGCAATTCAAAAGAAAATGTCCTATAGATGAAAGTTATTTTTTCTTCTCTATTTCAAAAGATTATTTGAAGTTCAAACTAATCTTAGTCTTTAAAAAATACCTTAAAATAGAGAGTGGTAGATGTGATTCTACATTTAACAGCATCACCTAGAAACACAAACTCCTGACATCCAAGATAAATGAACAACAATCGAAAAAGGGCACAGAAAGGGTCAAATCCATTTGATGTGTGGACAGTCGTAAAGAATGTTGAGCTTTCCATTTTTTATTTCTTTTAAAACTATAGCATTTAGAAATCAACTCCTGAAAATCTTTCTTAATGTTTCAATTAAGTGAAAGAATCTAAACTTTTGGCTAGATATTGTTTACTTGGCAACTGAAAATCATTCTAACGCAATCATTTGTTGTAGAAAATAACAAATCACCTTAAGTCATTTTTGAAGCTTTCCTTGTAGAGACATAATTAAAGAAGGTGTAACATATAACATTTAAAAAATGCGATTAAGTAAAATGTCCAGTGAATAAGTGACAGTGATGGAGATATTCTGAGAATACAATAACTTATATTCATGTAGCATTTTTACTCTCAATATTTCTTAATAACCATCCTTCTCCACCCACCAAGCACACACAGACATAATATCTCTAGGAAGAAATTAAAGAGTCGTGGATTTACTTTTTATTTTATAGATTAAGTAAGTACTGTGAAGAAAGGTTAAATGGCTTATACAGTAGTCCAGAGTAAGTTATTTATGAAATGAATACATAACCCCTACCCATGAATTCCTCGCTTTGATTTTTTTTTGTAATTCTTTGTGTTGACACTCCAGAAAGAGAAATGTACATGTAATTAGATGATTGTTTTACATCCTTTCCATGGAGAAGGGGTAGCAAATAAAATTAACAAGACAAAACCCTTGTCAAAATAAACTTATAAACCCTTGGAAGAGACCGAAAACTACAAAAATTGCCATAATAAAAATCAAAATGTGATAAATACAATAAATGCAAATATTCATAGATAAACATTGAAAAGCTTGAGACAAATTCTGCCTGGAACAATCTGAGAAGTTTTCTTCAAAAAGATGTAATTTAAATTTAATTTTCAAAGTACATGATTCTATAGGTGAGATATTTTCAAGTTCACTTACCTACTTGAATGTTAAAATTAGAAGTTAAATTCAATTCTATTTAATGCCAAAGTTCATATTCGTTACAGTCCCACAAGAATAAAAGCAATTAAGATTAGTTTGGAACTAGAGAATCTGTGTTTTGGTTTCCCAATATCTTTCTCTCTTGATCTCTTTCTTTCCTGAAGATGATGTACAATAAAGACTGTGAGGGTCGTATGAGTAGAAGAACTGAGTTTTAGATGCCCACTAAGAGGCTACTATGATCTCAGAGTCAAGTGACAGGATTAAGCAAGACTGAAAAATTGGCTGTTTACATAAAGGGAATAAAGAAGGAATTTAAAATGTTTTGATTCTAGCTTTGGAGATGTAAAATCAATGGCACCATTAACAACAATAAAGAGTTGTAATTTCAGGAAAGTTAGAGCCAATAAAGAGCCAAGAACAGGCTTAAAATAAGAGAGCGTAATCCTGCATTCTCATCCCCCCTCCTAACCCAGCAACTTGGCTGCAGTATTTCTTGAGGCAGCATCTCCCACCTCCCGTTCCCCACACACAGATATATATAGTAACAATACACGCTTGTTAGACAAACGAATTTGCATTTGCAAGGCAAGTTCCTAGATCTCCAATTCAAACATGTTGCTTCTTCTAACACTCAATCTCTCTTATAAAGAAATTAGAGAGGCAGCGCTGTTGCCAAAAGATCGCCCTGTCCCTGACGAGCCAAATAACCCAGAGACAAGTTCTTGGAATTTAGAAGAAAAGAGGCAATTTTATTGCTTTGCTGGGCAAAGGGGACTCACAGCAGGCTAGTGCCTTCAGAACTGTGAACCCACCTTGGGAATGGGGTGGGGTGATTATATAGCTATAGCTCAAACAATAAAGCATTGATAACAATCAACAGAATCAACAGAATGGCTTCATGATGCCTCCAGGCGACCAGTTCTATAGAGGCTAGCAGTTAGGTTTCTTTATCTGGTAAGCACTCAAGGTGTGGTCTTCTTGGTAATTCAGGCTATTTTGTAAGGTTGTAGTCCTGTGACCTTCTCCTTGGAGAAGGACTCAGAGACTAAGCATGATTATTACTTTCAATTACTGGAATAAGTAGAAACAGTAAGATCAATAGCTTCAGTTTTAACAATGGGCCTGAAACTGTGAGTAGCAACCGGTCAGTCAGGTCAGTTGACTGTTTTAAGGGCAAGCATAAGAATAAGCAATCTGTTAGTCTAAGTGTGGCCATTTTACTAATCCTCCTTCAGCACTTTTGGTTGGAAAATGTTAGGCTCATTTCTTGATATTGTAGAGACTCAGAATATGTCACCCCAAAATATGCCATGTCAGCATATTGATTATGTTGAATTAAAGGTACTTGAGAAAAAACCTGTGCAAGAAGGACATTCCAGCCCTCCTTTATCACCCTGAAAGCAGGAGGTAAATCTCCCATGGGAGAGGTACCTTCCCTGTAGCTGGAGGGGAGTTGTCTCTATCACCAGAGGCAGGAAGTTTAGGAGTGG